GGGGCACACCTCATCAACAAGGGTACCTGAACAATGCATATTTGTATACCTAACCCTTAACTGTACCCTACAATTTTAAAATAAAAAATATGGTTAAAAATAAATAAATAAGTCCAATTAGTTCATAAGTTCAACAAAGTTAGCTTAGGTACCCAACTAACACCATAAACTATATAGTACTTAACTATAATAAGTTTATACTACTTTTCACACAAATAATATATTAAAAAACACAAAAAAGACAACATTTAAAATCTATAGTACAGTACTTTGCACTCACGTGATAGACACATGAACTAACTTACATGATTGGACATGTGAATACATGTTCACATCTTTGAAAGTTCACAACTTGAAGTTTCGTATGTAGGAGACTTACTGTACATTGCTGTTAACAATAGTCATCCCACTCTTCCTTTGAACACTGGAATGTATTCCTCCTCACTAACTGTACATATGTACCCATGAACCACATCCTCTCCCTCCAATACACACCCTTCCCAGCCATTGGGAACTATGATTCTTAAAGGTCTATTTTTTCAAAATACTAAAGCCCATGTCATTTGTCATGAGAGAGCTCATAGTACAAGAAAAACAATCCACATAACAGTTAGAACAAAGTTTGGAAAAATGTATATAAATATGTGTGTGTGTGTGTGTGTGTGTGTGTGTGTGTGTGTGTGCACGTGCATGCGCACTTGTTTTTAATAATAGCACTTTTCTATTCTTGCTAAATTGTTGTTTCACATGTACCTCAATCCTCACACGATTACTCCGTCTCTGCATGTCTCAGAATATGACCTGGAGCCGTGTGACGACCCTGGAGTCCCTGCCTTCAGCAGAAGAATTGGTTTCCACTTCGGTGTGGGAGACTCTCTGACATTCTCCTGCTTCCCAGGATACCGTCTGGAAGGTGCAACGAAGCTTACGTGCCTGGGTGGGGGCCGCCGTGTGTGGAGTGCACCTCTGCCAAGGTGTGTGGGTAGGTGGTCACACGCTTTCATTTCATTCATCCAGGGGGCAGGGCATGGCCCAGACAGGAGGGTGGGGCGGGGGGTGACAAGGAAGGAGAGTGAGAGAGTGGAGACCCACTCTGCCGATGAGGGAGGTGGGTGAGCTGCTCTGGGATTAAATTACTTCTTTAAAGAACTCCCTTTCAGCTCTGAGGATTTTATGGTTGAAGAAGAGTGAAACTAAAGCAAGTGTCAATCATATTTATACAAAGAAAATATATGAATGGTTTATGTATATGTTTTATATATAGTTATGTACTATATATACTATATATATTATATCTCTTGAAACAAAGGGAAAGATAAAAGCTAGATGCTAAGCTGTAATACACGCTTCTGACAATGACATTGCTTAAAAGCAGTGAGTGTCCCCCAGTATAAGGAAGGGGAACAATTTAGAAAAACCGTTTTGTTTCTCTCGTCAGTTGAACTCTTGCATACCCCTGCAAAATGGGCAGAACTGCAAACGGGTTTTGGTTACATGAATGCATTGTATATTGGTGAAGAAGTCTGGGCTTAAAAGTGTACCCGTCAACCCTACCTGTGCACCTTGTACCCGCTAGGCGACTTTTCACCCCTCCCCCTCCCCACCCTCCTCCCTCTGAGTCTCCAATGTCCATTACGCCATTTTTTATGTCTTTGCTGACCCTTAGCTCAGCTCTCACTTAGGAGAAAAAATATGCAGTATATGGTTTTCCATCCCTCGCACGGGGCATTTAAATGATGACTTAGCTTTTTCCGTGTGTTCTTGAGGAGGTCAAAGGATTCCAAGAGTAAAAGGAATTTTTATTTCAGGACTTTGTGCATGAAGTAGCCTGCTGCTTCAGTGGGGTGGGGCTTACTGTGAGCTAGGAACTGTGCTACTGTAAGAGGTCAGCAGAGGAGAATCATGGCTGCTGTCACAACTTAAATAGGGTGTGTGACCTTCACAGTTCAGTCATGAGCCCAGAGACAAGGTTTAGTACCTGCCACTCAGCCACATGGTTTAGTAGATGATGGCTTGTACAACCTGTTCTTTAAAGTTACAGAAAACTGCCTGGTGTCATTGTGAGGGAGGGAAAGGGGGAGGGAGATTGGAGATTAACCATGGTTCTCCTTAATGTCAAGCCTTCTGCTTTCGTGGGGAGTCTAAAATAGGTTCCACACTAATCTTGCCCATTTACAAACTAGAGGCAAATGGAGAACTGAAAATAAGATTTAATAACCCATATAAAACACACACATATTCACTTAGCAAACTGACTTTTTCCCATGGCACAAAATTTCTTCAATTATTAGCATTAATTAGCATTAGGAATATTATATGTTTCAAAAGGTAACACTGTCTTTTGGGGGGTTAGTAAACTAGACATAGTCAGATAGTCAGGATTCATTATAGAAAAATAAGTAGGCCGGGCTCAGTGGCTCAGCCTGTAATCCCGCGCTTTTGGGAGGCTGAGGTGAGTGGATTGCCTGAGCCCGCGGGTTCGAGACCCGCCTGGGCAGGCAAGACCTCATCTCTACAATAAATCAAAAAACCAGCCAGGCATGGTAGCGCATGCCTGTAATTCCGGCTACTCGGAAGGCTGAGGCGGAAGGATCGCTGGAGCCCTGCAGGTGAGGCTGCGGTGGCCGGGAGCGGCCACTACATTCCAGTCTGGGCCACCGAGTGAGACTCCAACTTGAAAAAAAAAGAAAAATAAGTAAATATGAATCAAATCATCTTTATATTTTACCAATATACAGGTATATACATTTCTGCAATCTGATTTTCTCTAAAAATAGTACTTTGCACTTTTTTGCTTATGATTTTTTTATTTGAGAATTGAATGCAAATTTCAAGCACTATCTCAAAGATACAGTATTTTGTAGATAACCTTAGAAGTTCCCTGAGTTGCCTAGAATCCATTCAGGAGACTCCTAATTTAGATAGTTTGAGATTTGAAAAAAATCTCCCAACACACACACAAAAATCAAAGCATTGTTCCAGATACATAACACTAAGTGGTCTGCTTATCATAATATTATATTCAATGTGATTCTATTTTATCTAAATTCATTATACTCATACTTTTTGTTATTCAGGTTTTTACTCTGTTGCCTAAAATATGAGACATGAGTAACTAGAACTGATGTAATGTATATTATTTGTCAAGCTCTTTGCTGGAGACCCGGTTCTGCTCTGGGCTTTTCACTTGCACTGCCTCATTTCATTCTGTGACAACTCTATGAAGTAAGCACCATTACAGTCAGTTCCATTTTACAGATGGAAATATCAGGATACAAAGAATCTATAAACTTTGCCCCCAAAACATAGCACTCAGCAAATAGCCCCATTACAAAGTGGGGAAAAGATATGAAAAAACACTCCTCAAAAGAAAACATACGAGCAGTCAACAGGTACATTGAAAAAATGCCCAGCCTCACTAGTCATCAAAGAAATGCAAATTAAAACTACACTGAGATGTCACCTAACTCCAGTCAGGATGGCCATTATCAATAACTCAAAAAACAACAGATGCTGGAGAGGATGCAGGGAAAAGGGAACACTTCTACACTGTTGGTAGGAGTGTAAACAAGTACAACCTCTGTGGAAAACAGTTTGGCGATTCCTAAAAGATCTAAAAATTTACTTTCCATGAAACCCTGCAATCCCCCTACAGGGAATATATCTGGAGGAACTCAAATCATTCTATGAAAAAGATACCTGCACATCCATGTTTATTGTAGCACTGTTCACAACAGCAAAAACATGGAACCAACCATGCTGCCCATCAAAAGAGGACTGGATAAAAAAATGTGGTACATATACACAATGGAATATTACGCAGCCATAATGAAGGACAAAATTATGAAGTTCACAATAAGTTGATGGACTTAGAGCCTATAGTACTGAGTGATGTATCACAGAAGCAGAGAACTGAGTACACGTTCTCACTCATAAGCGAACCTTCTACAATTATCCTAATACTATAAGGAAAGGATTGGCAGTAGTGGGAAACTGTTGGGGTGGTGCCCTCAGGGTTGGGATTGGCAGTAATGGGAACCTGCTAGTGTGGGAGCAGACCTCATCAACAAGGTATATGCATAATGAACATTTGTATACCTAACCCTGAATTGTACCCCACATCTTTAAAAAAATAAAATAAAATAAATTGTTAAACAAAACAAAACACCACTTGGAAGATTCGAATCCAGGAGCCTGCCACCCTGCTCTGAATCTTTGCGCTACCCAGGGAGACACACAGAGGGCCTTGGGTTGGCCCCTTTTGCATTTAACCTTTTGTATTTTGCCAACAGTTTCCTGATTTTTTTTTCCCTGCCCATCAGGTTGCAAGACTACTTTTTAAAAAACAGGTTATTCATGGCACTAAAATCTTCCAGTTGACCCATGTGGCACCTCTGGGTGTCATCTATTTCTGCCTCTCATTCTGCACATCTGTTTAGTTCCTAGTTCTGCATGACTCAGCTGCTGCATAACTCTCAGGTCAGGGTCCTCCTCTTTGTCTTCCCAACCCCCCCAGCCAGGAGCTCACCCTCCCCGTTGCTCCAGATGATTCTCCCAACCCCTGTGCCACAGCTTCCAAAATGCTCCATTCAAACTGAAAACTCTCCCTCTAACCCTCCATCCTGAGATAAGTATGTTGGCTGAGAACTGAGGAGACACTCGGAGAGTGTGCCCTGGGCCAATGAACCAGGGACCTTGTGTGCCAGGATAGAGTCGAGGAAGAGTTTATTTCTGAATATTATGGGGAGCTATTGAATAGGTTCTGCTAAAACAGATGCATCGATGGGGTTTTCAGTTTGGTACAGCATTCTGGAAGCCGTGGCTCAAGGTTTGGCCCGCAAAGGACCATGGCCCTTTTTGAATTCACATTATGCCCGTCTGCAGGCAGCTCCCTCATTGTGTTCTGATCCCTCTTCTGGGCTGCCTCTCCTCACCCCCTCGCTCCGGCTGAATGTTGAGCCTCCCTGACGACTGCTGGACTCCACTGATGCTGTCTTCATTTCTTGGTCTCTCTTCCAGCTGACAGTTCCCTTACCGTGGGGGCTCTCATATCCCTAAGATCTACTTCTGTTTGTCAAATAAATAAAAATTACTCTCCTCAGAAGCTTTTCTTTTGTTCTCAAAAATTTATTTTATCAATACTCCTTCCTTTAAAATCAGAAATAGGCCAGATGCAGTGGCTCCCACCTGTCATCTCAAAACTTTGGGAGGATTGTTTGAAGTCAGGAATTTATACCTGCCTGGGCAACAAAGCAAGATCCCATCTCCACACTACTTTTTAAAAAATTATCCAGGCATGGTGGGGGTATGACCGTAGTCCCAGCTACTTGGGAGGCTGAGGTGGGAGGATCATTTAAGCCCAGGTGTTCGAGGTTGCAGTGAACTCCAATTGTGGCACTGCACTTCAACCCAACACAAAATATACATATAAATGTCTTGCTATGGCCAAAAGATGCCAAAGATTGCAGGTGACATCTAAAGAATGCCAAGTAGTGAACATCTGTGCAGAGAATTACTTTCTTCTTTATTAATTCACTCTTAAGTAATCTTTTTATTTGAATTTATTCATTTGAGGGCTTTTTCTACTTATTTATTTAGGATGATAGAAATAATATCACATGTATCACATGTACAACCTCACTGGAAGTGCTCTCTTGTGGCATCCCTTTGCATTACTCATGTATCATTTAAGTTTTTTGTTTTCACTTGCAAATTAAAGAAAAAGTTGCCAACACTGTCTTCAGTCAAAATAAAAGTTCAATGGTATTATGACTTTAAGTCCATAGCTAGGGCCAACTTCAGATAAATTAGAGCAACAGGTCAAGCTCATCACTGAAGACCTGGCGCCTCCATGTCTGTTAGTTTTACCAACCTGTGTGATGCTCCAGGTGGCTCCCTGCACACAGTGCTGTTGCCCCACCCATCACACTACCTGGTGGAGACAGCCATGCCAAGATCACGTCTGTGCTAGTCCTGGGTTCC